ACGTTACCAGACTTTATCCCTGGTGCAGCAGCCCAGTCACGGCAGCACACGAGGGAGCTCTGCCTGGAGACTGACACATGCACCATGTCTAGGATGGCTGGACAGCGAACCCCCGTTTGCGCCTTCTTTCTCTTTGGCTAAAAGCTGCACCACGGCCCATTCCACCCATTGAGATACACGGTGCTAACGGCAGCATGTCCAGCCCAGCCAGTGGGCCTGAGCCCGCTTCAGGGAACAACAGAACTTCTGATAGCACAGCACAGCACATATTTCCAGTGGTTGTTACAGAGCAGCTGATGTTTCAAGGCAAACCTTCCAGCCCAGACTCTGCTCTCTGGTTTTACCCCCTCCCTTCAGTGCAGTTACTCCTGGTTTACCCCAGCATGAGTAGAGAATCAGGCCCTCTGTTTAGATAAATACCAACATCTCCTTATTTACCATGTTTCCCACCCTTTCACGCCATGTGCTTCATTGCTAAGTCACATTCGCATGAAAATAGTGTCATTGGCCATTAAGGGGTTCCCATACGCCTCTGCTTGCTCCCCACTTGGCCTTACGTTGCACTGACATCATCCTCTCCTGGAGATGTCCCAGCGAGTTGCTCTGTAGATGACTATGTGATCAGCAGCCAACGATTGTCACATGAGACGGGGAACAAGCCCTTAGCAGCGGGTCGACCCCCCCCCCCTCGACAGATCCGTGGATCGTGGGGGAGGGCGGAAAGGGCTGAGATTAAACAACAAGCTACAGCACTCTCTTGCCACCCCCAGCTCTGAGTCTCTTGCCCAAAAGATGGCCAGGCCCTGCAGCCTGCGTATGGGAACAAGTCCTCAGGCAGCAGGAGCCATATGTCCCCTCCCTACAACCTGGGATGGGCTGCAGAGCCAACCCAATGGAATAGACTCTGCAAAGAGCCCACGCCTTCCCCTCTGGGCACGAAAGGATAGGAAAGGACCATCTTCCTGCAGACAGTGAGGAACGCCGGGCCTGATCCTGCTGCCCAGGCACCTCATGAAGCAAGATCAGTGTCACCCCACCGCCCCCGCAGGGTTGGGAGGTCACCGTTCCAGCCAGGCACAGGCTTCCATGGGGAGTTGCAGCCCAGCATTCCTGATCTGTGTCATGGTCTCAGGGGAAGCCAGAGGGCCTGGCCCCAGGGGAAGCACTGTGCGCTGAGGTCCTGCTGACTCGGGAGAGCCAGGGCTGTGATTGATTCGGGGCCGGGTTATCTTTCCCCTTCAGACCTGGATAAAAAGTGCAGGCTCAGCAGGGCTTCCTCCGAAGGGCAGCACATGGTGAAATAAACAAGGACGGGGAGCTGCGCCCAGTGATGAGAGCAGGGAACATCTCAGCTAATAGCTAGCATCCTGCCAAGAGCCCGGCCCTCTCCCCCAGGCCCGACTGAGGAGCTGCAGCTGGGGAAGCGCCACCTGGAGACTCAGGAAGGGAAGCATCTTTTGCCGGGCTTTCTTTGAACAAGCCTGTTTTTGTTGGGTGTATGGGAAAAAAGCCACTGAGCCCATCATGTATGTGAAACAAGCCCAAGGGAGGGAGATGCTGCTTCCGGAGGCCTCCGAGATCCCGCTGGCTTTGGGGTCCCAGACTATAATGCTGGGGACTTCCTGTCCATCAGAATCATGCTGGCTACAGAGCTCGGGACTCCGCAGCCATTGCTGGGTGGGGACAGGGTTTCTAAAGAACTCAGCTCCCACATGGGCACCTCAGTAAGTGGCCTGTGCTGCTTCTCCAAGAGCTCAGGGCTCCACTGGATAGAGGAGGAGAGATGGGGATTAAGGAAAGAGAGAGAAACTACAGGGAACTGAGGATGTCGGGTGCTGAGCTCTGCTCCCACAGCTAGGATGTGTGCAGCGCTGCACAGACACAGAAAGACCTGCCCCCGGGAGCTCCTAATCCAGGACAGATGGCAAACCACCCTGAGATGCCAATGATGGGCAGGGGCCCAGGAGGGAGGGAAGGGGCTCCCAGCCCTTCAGGGCGAATGCCTCAGTGAAGTCAACTTGTTTGGAGAAGGTTAGCAAAGCTCCACTGAGCAGGAATAAAGGGGGCATAACAACCCCACGCTGTTCCTGTCGGCCCAAAGGCAGCAGGGGCACATGGCGTTCACGCCGGGCTTGCTGCAGGCCTGGGCTGGAGTCTGGATTTAAATTGCTCCCTACAGCCAGGGTAAAAAAAATGAGCGTCTGCTTTTACGCAGCAATGCATTCACTGAATTAAAAATATATGTGAAACGTTCCCCCGGGACAAGAAATACACCGCGAGCGAGAGCCGGACCGCGGAGGAGGAAGCGGGATGCTCAGAATTGCTTTGCATCTCTTTATGGCTTTGTGGGCCTGATTTTCAAATAGGGGGGCAGTGATAACACTAAATGACTCCAGCCAGTGCCCTGTTCTCAGACCAGGCCCCGGTCCTGCCAGCAGAGACACATGGCTGGCAGGATCATCCCATGTGAATCCGATTGCCGGATCGGGGCTGTGCACGCTATTGGCCTGAGTACATGAAAGCCAGCGGTGCTGCGCATCAGGCCACGTTCTGCACAAGTGCCTTCAAGGCTCATTCTGGACCTGCTGCAAGCCCCACAATTTAAAACTGACGACTAATCAAATCTTGATTGCAAAAGCAATTCCGTCCAAAGCCAGGTCAACTACCAACACGCCTCCTGCCCCTCCCCCCACGGTACCAAGCCAACCTAGCCATTTTAACTCCAGTAGCCAGGCACTAGGCAGAACAGATTCCTCCACTCCGGGGCCACGCCTTGTAGAGCGCCCCCTAGGAGTGCTTAGCATAGTAACAAGGAGAAGGCTCCACCCAGCTTTCACTAACCATTTGCTCAGGATAAAGGCTCCAGAAACAGATTTATCTTCTCGCCAGCCATCTTCCCCTTATCACCCGGATCCCGGGGCTGGCACTCCTTAGCAAAACACTGACCAAGGCAAGAAAAAACAAACGTGCTTCTCCCAGCATTGAGAAAACACATTAAGGCCTCAGGTCCCCCGGGACGGAAAGGGAACAGCGACCCTTTCCTCCCCGCAGCAGCCGGTCGAGGAGGGGCAGACCGTCTGCTCACTCAGCGTGCACTCGGAAAGCAAGCCGTCCTTCGGCGTGTGGGTGTGATGAGTGTACAGGAAAGGGCTGGGTGTGGGTTGTGTGTGGAGATTTGTGTGTTGGATGTACTAAGATGTGGGTGTGCTGCGTGTGCAGAGTTATGGCCTTGCCTTCGCTAACCTTTTCCCTCTCAAACCCCTTAGCACTGCTGCCTCGGGTCAGATCGGAGCAGGGGTGGACGGAAAAGTGGTTGGAACCACAGCCCTGTCTGCAGTAATTCTCCCCAGCGCTGCTCCTGGCAGAGCGCAAAGAGTGGTGCCAAAGAGGGGACACTGTAGGGCCAAAGGCTAGTTTAGATACAGTCTCTGTGTGTGTGATTGGGGGAATGTACATGTGGAGCAGAATGGGGTGTGTGTGTGTGTATCTGGGTGTCTGTGCCCTATGTACATATGTAGTGTGTGTGTGTGAGACAAAGGGTGTTGAAGCCCATGTGGTGTGGTTTGGGTAGGTGTCCACTGTATGTGTGCGTGTGGGGAGCCGGAGAGAGTGTGTGTGGTGGGAGGGTGTCTGCTACCTGCTGGGGGGGAATCAACGGCCAGAATGTAAACGTGTGTGTGGGGAGGTTGAATGCACCTGTGTGATTGGGGTGTGGGGTGTGAGTGTATGTGTTGTGGGAGAGAGGAGAATGGGTGTGCCTTGGAGTGTGTGTGAGGGAATGAGTGGGTGTGCTGTGAAGGGTGGATTTGTTTGGTTGTGTTGGGAGATGAATGTGTGTGTTATGATCTCTGTGTGTGTGTTAGTTATATTATGCAGAGATATCAGGGTATGTGCTGTGTGTGGGTATGTGTGGAGGGGATATGAGGGTATGTGTTGTATGGGGTGTGTTATGACCATTTGTGTTGTGTGTAGGTGTGTGATTTCCCCAGGTTGTGTATGTAAGACCTCCCCATGGCAGAATGTGTGTGTGTGTCTCCCCTGTGGCAATGTGTGTGTGTGTGCATGCACACAAGAGGGATCCTTCCCTGTGTTGTGTGTGAATTCCAAAGGCACCATGTTATTATGAGACTCAGAGACAAAGGTTCCCCACCCTCCCACCCCCATAGCAGGTATGGCTGGGCCCACGAGGTGGCTCCTACCAGTGCCAACAGATCATCCCAAAGCTCCCCACCTCTGCCAGTGGAATTTTAACTTGGGGCTCCTGGGAGCCCCCTCCAGCATCTCACTGGTGCTGGGTATGTGGGGTGTCAGCGCACAGGGAGTAAGGTTTGGTGGGGGTGACCATGTGTTGAGGGTGAGTGCATGTGACTGTGTGTTGTCTATGGAGGGAAGGAGTGTGTGTTGTTGCTTGTGTGTGTGTGTGCTGTTGTTGCTGGTTTGTGTTTGTGCACTGTTGTTGCTGGGGATGTATGTGCGCACTAGTGTGTGTGTGTGTGTGTGTGTGTGTGAGAGAGAGAGAGAGAGAGAGAGAGCGCACAGCATGCAATAGTGTGCTCAGCTGTGGGTATGTGCACTGGTGTTAGTGTGTGTGCACGCTGTGTGTGTGTGTACCGTTGTTGCTGCAGTGTGTGCCGTTGCTGCGGGGTGTGTGTGTCTGTGGATGGGCGCTGTTATTGCTGGGGTGTGCAGTTCCATCGGCACTGAATGGGGCTCGCTCGCTCCCTCCCTCTGCCACCGGCCGGGCTCCCCGGTGTGGGGTCTGGAGCGATTCCACTCGCCCCCAACCCAAGCAAACAGGAGCCCCCCTTGTTCCCTTTCTGTCTCTCTTCAAGCTTCGCTCCGTGCTGGGAGGCGGGGGCTGGGGGAGAAGTGAGGTGCCTGGGTCAGGGGCTGGCATTCTGGACCGGGGAGTGCCTGGGGCGGGGGCAGTCCGGCCCCCGGCGGGCTGGGCTGGGCTGGCAGAGCGGCAGCCGGGGGTGGGTCTCCGGCCGCGCCGCAGGGGGCGGGGGGCAGTGGCGGGAGCCCCCTTTATAGGCGGCGGGCGGCGGCGGCCGGGCGCAGTGCGGGGCCATGGAGGACGCGGCCGCGGAGCCGCTGGGCGGCGAGCCCGACTATTACTACGGGGAGGGGAACGAGAGCGGGCCGGGCGCGCAGTGCGAGTGGCCGGCGGACTGGGAGGTGTCCTTCTCGCTGCTGCCCGTGCTCTACATGCTGGTCTTCGTGCTGGGGCTGTCGGGCAACGGGCTGGTGATCTTCACCGTGTGGCGGGGCCCGCGGGCCAAGCGCCGCTCCGCGGACACCTACATCGGCAACCTGGCGCTGGCCGACCTGGCCTTCGTGGTGACCCTGCCGCTGTGGGCCGCCTACACGGCGCTGCGCTTCCACTGGCCCTTCGGCTCGGCGCTGTGCAAACTCAGCAGCTACCTGGTGCTGCTCAACATGTTCGCCTCCGTCTTCTGCCTGGGCAGCCTCAGCTTCGAGCGCTACCTGGCCATCGTGCGCCCGCTGCCGCGCTCCCGGCCCGTGCGCCGCCGCGCCGCCGCGCTGCTCCCGCTGGCCGCGCTCTGGCTGCTGGCCGGCCTGCTGGCCCTGCCGGCCCTGCTGCTGCGCGACACGCAGCCCGGCCCGGCCGACAACCTCACCGTCTGCGACATGGACTTCAGCGGCGTGGCCAGCGCGCAGAGCGAGCGCTACTGGCGGGGCGCGCTCGGCCTGGGCACCACGGCGCTGGGCTTCCTGCTGCCGCTGCTGCTCATGACCCTCTTCTACTGCTGCATCGGCGCCACCGTCAGCCGCCACTTCCAGCACCTGCGCAAGGAGCAGGAGAAGCGCCGGCTGCTGCGCATCATCGCCACCCTGGTGGTGGTGTTCGCCCTGTGCTGGCTGCCCTTCCACCTGCTCAAGAGCCTCTACGTGCTCAGCGAGCTGGGGCTCCTGGAGCTGCCCTGCGCCTTCCTCGGCCTCATCGTGCTGCTGCACCCCTACGCCACCTGCCTGGCCTACATCAACAGCTGCCTCAACCCCTTCCTCTACGCCTTCTTCGACCTGCGCTTCCGCGCGCAGTGCCGCCTGCTGCTGGCCTTGCGCCCGGCGCTGCGCGGCCCGGCCGGCTCCGGCTCCTCCACGCTCAGCGCCCAGACCCAGAAATCCGAGCTCCACTCCCTGGCCACCAAGGTGTAGCTCGCTCGGCCGGGCGGCGCACGGGGAGCCCGGGCCACACACGGACGCAATGACGGGCTCGGAGCCCGCGGAGCTCGGCGCGGTTCGGCGGCGCTGGGTCGCTCCTGCTCCGAGGCGGCGGGGTCCGCAGCAGCAGCCCCGGCTCTGGCTTCGGCTGCGCGGTGCGGGCGAGCTGCCTCTGCGCCCGCTCGGTCCCGCACGTGTCCCAGCCCCTGCTCAGGGGGATCCGGGTTCCCCCGGCCCGATTAGCGCCCGGGCGGGCTCGGCTCCGCAGGCCGGGAGCCCCCGGAGCTGGGCTGGTCCCTGCGGGCGGCTCCCTCCCTGTAAACCAATAAAATAGTTTTTCAGGAACTCTGGTCGGATTCTTGGTGGGGACAGCGACAGCCCTGGGTCCGGTCGGGGGCGCCGGCAGGTGCTGGGTCCCGGGCCCGTGCGGGGTCCGGTTCGGGGTGTGAATGGTGGGTCCGGGGGCTGTGCGGAGTCCGGTTCGGGGTGTGAATGGTGAGTCCGGGAGCTGTGCGGGGTCCGGTTCGGGGTATGAATGCTGGGTCCCGGGCCCGTGCGGGGTCCGGTTCGGGGTGTGAATGGTTGGTCCGGGAGCTGTTCGGGGTCCGAGGGCTGTGCAGGGTCCAGTTCGGGGTATGAACGGTGGGTCTGGGAGCTGTGCGGGGTCCAGGGGCTGTGCGGGATCCGGTTCGGCGTGTGAATGGTGGGTCTGGGAGCTGTGCGGGGTCCGGGGGCTGTGCGGGATCCGGTTCGGGATGTGAACGGTGGTTCCGGGGGCTGTGCGGGGTCTGGTTCGGGATGTGAATTGTGGGTCCGGGAGCTGTGCGGGATCCGGGGGCTGTGCGGGGTCCGGTTCGGGGTGTGAACGGTGTGTCCGGGAGCTGTGCGGAGTCCGGTTCGGGGTGTGAACGGTGGGTCCGGGGGCTGTGCGGGGTCCGGTTCGGGCTGTGAACGGTGTGTCCGGGGGCTGTGCGGGGTCCAGTTCGGGGT